GAAACGACTCCCTCTTTAATTCTTATATATTTCCAATTTTCATGCGACACCGTATCAGTTCGACAATTCTGCTCCAACAAACTGTTTTTTTTTGTATTTAGATTAACAGAATATTTTTAAAGGTGATTTTTTTGACAAAAGGGAGATCAAATGCATATAAATTTCAAGTGTTTTCATCATGTGGAAATGAGTTGTATTTAATGTGGCGAATGAAAAAGAAGGGAGAAAAAAAAGAGTGCTTTTTTGAAACCAAGGCCGACTTCTGAGAGCGTGCCAGATGGGTTCTACAATTGTAACTCTACATGATTTACAGGCGAGAGAGAAACAGAATTAAGATGGTTTCAAAGGGCTTTTCTTTGAAAGGGGTAAGGATGACAGTGCTTCAGCTTTAGACTGAGAATGAATAATTGTGACTTTCAGAGCCATCCTGGGTGAACCTAGGGGATACAGATCAGCAGTTTTGTGAGCAGCAGGCTTTTGTAATCCATTGCTGGAGTCCTCACCCACCCATTGTGATACTTTGTAGCAGAATGTTTTAAAGCACCAGTCTGTTTCACAGGGTCACGCTGGGAGAGAGGTTCAAACAGGTGAATATACCTTTATTTCTTTTATTTTTTTATTTTTTTTGGCAAAAGCGGACTTAACAACTCAGTCGTGTCACAGACGGATCTCTCCGCTCGGACGACGTCGCATTTCGATATATCACGACGGAGATTTCCATTACCATGAGAACTGTCACTCTGTGCTGTTTTTGAAGTAGACGCCATGATACAGAGGAAATGAGAAGCTTTTCATGTTTAATTAATAATGCTAATGAAACTTAATTAGAGCAGCTTATGAAAAATGCATTCAAATGAGAGATGAGCTTTATCCTTAAATAACAAGCCTCCTGTGCTGGATTTGGTGTCCTATTACATGCTAATTAGACTGCACTGGGGACTGTTAATGAGCGTAGATCATTTCAATCTTTAGCACTGCGAGGTCCTCGACGACTGCCTCCGACCATATATGTGTGAATCTCTTTTCAAATGTATAGATAGAGATGACAATGCGGCTGCTTCATTGTGCGCCACAATACCTGGAGATCTGTGTGGGCTACTTCTATTATCTATCAGAACATACAATAGATGGCTGTCAATGGCTTCTTTGTCATTACAAAAACACAAATTGTTAGCTTTTTAGCGTGCATAAACACATGCATGATGATGCTATCTGTCAGTAATACTTGCATCACATACTTAAAATAAATGAGTTTATTTAGTATTACAGATATGAATGTTATATGTTGGATGATTCAGTGAAAGCATCAGATTCCAAATTAGACTACAAACATTGTTTACTACATAAAAAAGGCTGGGGATAATCACCTTGCTATTGTATATCTGATGTAGAATCTGCTGTAAAGTAGCGTGTTTTAATTATAATAATTTACATGTGCGCCACTGAAAAACCGGTCGAGACTGACAAGTGCATCATTCACAGCCTCGGAGCATTTGGGGATGCTAAAATCCTCTGGGAGCGTCTATTAAAAAGACCTTGCAGTCTGCAGGCTATCAGTTCACAGTTTACAGATCTGGAAAAAAATATATATCTTCAAATAAGGTTGCGGTGTTCATTCGGCGCTCCCTGAATCCAATCCAAAAGTACATTTTCAGACATGTGTTGTGTGTTTTTTTTTCCGCATGCAATTTTGTATGTTAGTCATGTCAATTATCCACATTTGGTGTTCTGCTCTTTCATCTAAATGCAAAATGTCAAAAATAATAGATTTGTAATGCTAAAAGGCATATCTATTGATGCATGCTGTGTGCTGAAAGTACATGGATGGTCTTTATGTAGAGAGAGAGAGTGGTGAACTGTCACAGTGTGTGTCATCTCCAGCTTTATAACAGCTTACTAACATCACAGCTCAATTGCTGAAAATGCCTGTATACCCTGCAGGTAAGGGTCTATTAAATCCTCCTACACTGTGATCCTGCTCCTACGCCTGATTCTATCTCAACCTGTAAGGCTTTTGGTCAGTAACATCTATTGCAATTTGTTTCTCTTGAATTCCAGCAAATTAACCCTTGAAAAAAGGAACAAAGCGTTCATTGATTTTACAGCCAAAATATGACAATTCATATCGGCTGATAAATGATCAGCGCGGCGCGTATACATAAACTAATTAACTATATAAGCGGTGTCTCTGTGCTAAAGAAAGAGAGGGGGTTGGATGAATGGGTGGATGTGTGCGCTCTGTTTTACACTGTCAATTTGGCAGACGCCTGCAGGGGCTGGTGTGTTGCCATGGTGATATGAGCAAGGCATGAAAGAGCAGCAAGGTTTGCCTAACAGGACCAGTCTTATAAGGACTGATAAAATGAGAACCTTTCTTTAAGAGTCTCACATACACTATAGCCTATTCAAGACAACCCAGAGCATCCACTCTTTACCACAAAAAAGGCTTATAATAGAAGTGAATCAGAGCTGCCCAGTTAATACTCGCAGATCAATCACAACATTTGGCTTTGTGGAGATAAAATGCTGCTTTTACTTCTAGTATTCAACACTGATAACAAAAATACCAATATTTTTGATCTGTATTATGGCATTTGTGGCGAGTTCTATCGCTGCCCATATTAGAAATCAAACATTCTTGACACACATGAAGATTTCTTCTACTGTGGTGCAGACATTAAGTGTAAGATTAAACTCACAGGTAGCCCGAAACACCTTTTAATTCCTATTCAAATATTTATTGTGCTAATTATTAGTAGCCATGGTCACACAAAAAAACATTTGCCCTCAATAATATGTCACACTAAATAGTTATTTCGAGAAATATCGTCACCAACTCCACGAGTTTAAGAAGCAGGAACTAATAGAAATATTTGTCGCCCGTTTTTTAAGCACTAAACAGTCAAATCGTGCTCGACTTATTATATTTACCAAAGCACCACTGAGGTTTATCCACAGGTGAAATTGAAGAAAAGCGTCACCGCAGAAAATTGCATGTTTGTTCTCCCGCAATATGTACTTTAAGGGATTCCTGCTAAGAGACCTGATTTATTAATGCAGACTGACCACTGCGACAGAGGAAATTGTGTCTGACTTTTTTTCTTTTTTTCTCTACGTCAGAGAGAGGCAGGTGTAAAATCTGAGAGAGTGTTGCATCGGACACACTTGCAGAGACAGACTAGTTAGATTGAAAGGATGAGCGGGCGAGTGCACACGAGAGAGAGAGAGAGACGTGGAGGATGCATCATGAAGTTGTGCTGCTTTCCTGGAACTATATACTGTTTTTACATACATTTTTTTCCCATGGTTGCAAAGGCTGTACTTAGTCGGAGTGGTGCTTAAACGAAACGCTCCAGTGAAAGCGATGTTAACATGATGAAGTTTGGCAGGTGTAATGTCTAGCATGCACGCTACCTATTTTAATGCGTTAACATGCTAACACCTGCAAATTACGCCTAACAGCGCCGAGTCTACAGGGAACACCATTCATTTTTCATGAATCTAAAGAGCATAAATCAAAGCATGGCATGAATGGCAATCTATCCAACAGTGTGAGCTCATAATGGCCCTGAAGGAAAAGTCAGGGATCACCAAAGTCAGTCGGAAAGAATACATCACCTTGTCACCACGAGCGTCTGAGCATTACACGGCATTCCGTCCAGTAGCTCTTCAGATATTTCAGTCCCGACTTTAAAGCAGCGTGCAGACTGAAGGGCAGGCGTTGCCATTCTTAAAGCCAAGCTAAGAAAAGGGCAAACAAAAACAATCTTACACACCTGCTGAATAATTCTTCTGGGTACCGAAAATCCGGTTCAGTCCCCAGAAGAATCTCTTTTTTTTAACTTGGCCAGACGCCCTCCCAAACACAACTTGCAGTGTGCTCAGGCGTGAATTCGGTGAGGGATCACACCCTCCTCACTGCACTCGAGACTCCTACTGGTTGAACAGAATGGGATCTTCAGGGGTGAATAGTGTGTCATGGAGTTCCATGGGGGATTAGGCCCTCCTAGTCAGGCTCCTGACTGTCAGATGAAAAGAAGCGGCTGATGTGACTCCATGCCTATGTGGCTGTCTGCACCTCTATAGGCCGACATGGGGAGCGTGCAGGGACACACGGCAAAGTGAATATGCCGTTCCACGTAAGGGAGGAAAAAACAACTCTCTTTATCATGCACAAGGACAAATTGGCACGTTTGCAGCGCTCGGGTCTCACATTGACCCCTGCAGCTCCGATATAAGCAGAAGTACATGTGCGGTTACGTTTTCAAGTGCATGCGATAAAAGCAAATTCTAAAATAAAAGATCACACTGCCAGGATGTCACATTCACTTCTGGAGTTAATAATGGTAAAGTGTGTGGAATACGTCGCCTGTGAGTGACGTTTAAGAAACAAATTGGTGCGGCGGTTGCATGTTGTGATCCCAGAGAAGATAAATAAGGTTCCGCCGTTAGCACAGATCACGTAAATATCAATGTGCAATTTGTTTTTCTGTTTGTCTTTCTCTGCTCCTCTTTTTAGAGGTTACTGTAGAGTGCCAACACTTGCATTGTCTTTTTTTTCTCCTTTCCTTTCAGATGGCTGACTGGATGTTATTAGTATTTTTATTTTCTTGTTTAAAATGTAATCGCTATGAACAGAGGCAGGTTACCCGAGGTCAATTTTGTGTTTGCTTTTCTTGTTTCCATTTACATGAATTTCCAACTAGCGAGTCTTCCAAGTAATTTCAGCATTCTGCTTTGTCTACGTCTGTTGTCATTGTGGCAATCCATGATGTTTGATTCTCCTGTTTTGTTTTTTTTTCTAATTTCTAATCGGCCCGGGCGACAAAATAATAGCGATGCGTGCTGGTAACAGAAAAGCAAAAAACAACAAAAAAAAAAGTTGTTTGATGGAATGTTCGATAGTTTCATTTAGATGCAAAGTGCCATGAAAGCACACACATACATGTCCAAAGCCCCAGCATGCTCCCTCCCTGGCTCATAAACAGCCCATCATATACCTTGATACTGGAGACTGTTTGTCCTCGGTCTCTCCCCCCGTGGTTTCTGTGCTGGTCTCTGGAGACAAGCTAGTCCCCGACTGCCTGGGTCCCTCCTGGTGGAGGCTGCTGTGAGGGCCGGTGGATGCCCTTGCAGTCCAAAAACACCCACAGTCCTGTCCTCCACATTAGCGACACGCTCCCGAGGACTGACGGGCTTGACGTTGGGGTTTGTGCTCAGAGCTGGTGTTGGGTTCACATCTGGTGATATCAGGACAGGAGGAAAATGAACCTTAGCCTCGTCGCAGGCTGTTAATCTGGGTTTCACTTGCTTTCTGTGACGTGTATGAAGAAGAGATCTTTTCCTGAGGGTAAATTAATTTTTTTGCATGTTTTTCATTGCTGTGGTAACATTAACATTGTTACTTAACCCCATTCCTTATACACTTCACCACTAAGTAACTTTGCTTGAAATTCATGATCAGATATGGTTTTAATTATCCATCCATCATCTATACACCGCTTAATCCTCACTAGGGTCGCGGGGGGCTGGAGTCTATCCCAGCTGACTTAGGGTGAAGGCAGGGGACACCCTGGACAGGTCACCAGTCCATCACAGGGCTACACTTAGAGACAGACAACCAAGCACACTCACATTCACACCTACAGACAATTTAGAATCACCTATTAACCTCAACATGTTTTTGGACCTTGTGGGAGGAAGCTGGAGAACCTGGAGAGAACCCATGCTGCACGGGGAGAACATGCAAACTCGAACTGGCAACCTTCTCAGTGCTAACCAACTGCGCCACCTTGCAGCCCTGGTTTTAATTAATTGGTCATAAATTCTTTAGTAGACTTCACATCATTACATATCTGGTATCAATCAAAAGTAGATAAGTTGACAGTTAAATATGTATGGAAGTTTACTCTTGTCATATACATACAGGTGAAATACAGGTGTGAAAAAGGTAAACTTCATAATTACCAGGGATATATGCCAGGGTCTGAGGCATCAGTCAAAGTCTTGTAATTAGTTAGTTTTGATCGCTTATAAACATTTCGGAAACAAGGTAGCAAAAATCCCGTTTTCTGGTGATTTTTGGGGTCAAACGATGTCATTTTACTTCATTTGCATCATATATTTCATGACTTAATTGCTTGTTCACATACGGGGATTCCCACTGATAGCCAATCAAAATGAATGTAACAGAAAGTCACCATGTACCAGGCTGCAGTGTTGAACAGGAGTCCTAATGCCAGCCCGGTATAACGGGCGATACTGTCGAAAGGGTTACATTCAAACACGCATGCAAATATTCATAAAGTCAAAACAAACCTGAATTAATTATTTTCTTTTAAATGGGTAATTTCATTAACACTGATATCGGTATCGACTGAAACCAACCAGTTTATTGTTCTACATTACTCAGCTACATCACCCAGCGCTAATCTCTCAACTACTAGCTTCTTGACCTTTTTGTTCAACCAGAAAAGCCATTAACTATTACTAATTGTTCCCATGCTGTGTTCTGGCACGTCATTTTGCTTCATCTTTTTTATTCCTACGCGACACACGTCCGCTACATGCTTTCCCTACAATGTTAACTGTCACTGTTTAGCGCTAACCTGATGTTCTTCACCGTGTCCTGATTTGCAGTTTAACCAGGCAGAAGCAAAACTTCCTTTATCTTCTGGCCATACTATGGAACAATTGACTGTTTACTGTTCTCATTAGTGATCTGCTACACTCCAGTCATTATTCCAGCTGACAGGTCAGTGTACCCTTTGGGTGAGCCAAATTCGTTTTCATGCGTGAGCCCAATCATTAATCCAACCAAGAGACATGGCCCAGAGCTTTAGAGAAGACAGAACAGTGAATACTTTATGCTGCCTCTCAGCAATCTCAGAGACCCATAATTAAGAACTTCCTACCAGGACAGATGCACTGGAGTGGCCTGTGAACTTAGTAACAGCCACCGAAAAAAAAAAAAAGTCTCTGATATCAAGGCCAAAAAAAAGTAAAAAATGTTTTTTCAGGCTTGGAGAATATTTACCCTGTGTACGAAACATCTGAGTCTCACACGATCAGCGAGATGAAAGGGCTTAAATGAGTCATTCTGGGGGTTCAGTGAATATTGATGGGCAGGTGAATTAAAAATGAATCATCCTCAGCGCATACAGTAAAGATTAGCACAGATTTGATGCTCAAACCTTCCTAGAACTGAGAAAAAAAATAAAACTTAGTTAGTGGTGAAATGATTTTTGGGCACGCTTCAACTCCAGACAAAACAAGCTCCGCCATCCTCCAGAAGGAGCGGCGCTTGCGCTCAACCACCTCCTTGTGTCAGCTATTTTCAGCTGTGTGTGTCTTGTGTCTAATCAAACCAACTGTCACAAAAAAAAAAAAAAAAATGGATGAAATGGTCTGGACTCATAAAACTGGTCCAAATGTTCCAAATGCTTTTTTTTTTCCTTATTAGAAAAGATGGAGTGAAGACAGTTTGCGGGTAATCTGGGAGGTTTAGAGATACCATTTTCTACTACTTACATGTGATTATTTGTGCTTTTGTGTTATTTAAAATTACATTATCTATTGTTGACTCATTCATTGAGGTTTTGCACTTTGTTCTTTGTCAATTCTCTTTATCTGTGCCTTTAAAAATTCTCACAATCTTTCAGTGATTTTTTTTCTCTTTAATTTTCACCTTTTGTTATCCACAATTCTTCACACATTTTTTTTAGTTGGCCCTCACCTCTCTCCCAGCCTTTTCTTATTACAGCACTCTGCACCTCTACACCTTTTCCAGCCCTCTTTTGTTTCCTCGTTCCATTCTTCACCTTGTATCTCTCCTCTTCGCCTTCTACTCTGGTAATTCCCCCTCTCCTCTTGTGTTTCTGTGTTCCTCTCATTTATTCCTGTCCTCCAGCTCTCTTCCCTGCGTTCATTACTATGCTCCTAATCCTGCTTTTCCTCCTCCCCCGTCCTCTCAGCTCGCTTTTATTTCCGACCATATAACACCGCGCACTTAAATTAACGCAATGAATATAAGCGATAGCCGCGTCAAGAGTTGCGCCGGCCGTTAAACACCGATGAGAAGTTTGTGTCCGGCGTTACCGCAGGTGAACTCTCGAGATCCAGCAAATATGAGCACTTCCCTTACAAATTCCACTCGAGAAGTCAAGGAGTAGCTTAACTACAAATTTTGGCTAACGGGTTTCGATAGGACACGCGGTATGCACGCTGACCTGCCAGATTCCGTTTTATTGACAATTTGCAGTAGTCTGACAGAAACAGCTGAGGGAGCGCCGAGGCTGACATTACTCACTGAAAAATGTAGGATGTGATGCTGTGACACTTGGAGGTCAAGTCCATTTGACTCTACTTAGCTCTCAGCCAGAATATGTATGTTGGGGAGGGGGGACGGACATAACCTACCCGAGCTATATTGTGCAATGTGCTGCTTTGAAGATAGCTGGCAAAGGAAAAAGGCGACAACTTGCTCCAATCGAAAGTTAGAAATTCTCTCGAAACATTAAGCGGCACATAGGTTACACTCGCGATTTGTTTTATTTTTTACTTGTTAAGCTTTTCTTTCTGTCAGATCTTGATGCACAGCCTGATGTCAGTTTGTGTAACAGCTCTGTCACTAATTCATCCAAAGTTAACAGGTAGTGGGTGTGTTGCTTTCAGACGACTGATGCATTTGCGCCTCAGATATATATTTTCCCGCGGTGACATATTCTGTGATTCCGAGTAATTTCAAACTCGTTTCAAACCTTTGAATAAAATTGCCCACTGTCTTGTGGAAACATTTTCAAAGAGCTCGCAGGACATTTTCGTCTGCTGATTTACATCAAGGTAGAATTCTTCACTTTCCCGCACCTTGTGTAACTTCACACAATAGTCACCTGCAACTGAAAATCAACTTTGCCTCACAGTTTGACAATTTGAAAATCTCAGCTGGAGTAATAAGATTTGTGAAAAACACCATCTCTGTTTATATTGCCGGGGACTTTTCAATGACAGCAAAGCAGCTGATTACGTGACTAGATGAAACGCAGCGGGGTGCCAAAAGTTCTGGATTAGTGGAACAAGCAGAGCTGTTTCTCGCAGCTAGGAGGTTCTGGGTTTGGGTCTTGCCGCGGGGCGTTTGCATGTTCTTCCTGTGCGAGTTCACTACGGGTGCTCCTCCCACAGTCCATAGACATGCGTGGCAGGTTAATTGGTGATAAGGTGTAAATGTAAGCGTGCATGGTTGTCCATTTCTTTGGGGTTTTTTTTAGCCGTTTTGCCTTTGTTATATAGGACAGTCAAAGCAGAGACAGGAAAGTGAGGGAGGAGAATGGGGGAAGGGGTGCAGCAAAGGGCCATTAGTGGGATTCGAACCCATGGCCGCTGCATCAGAAACTATAGCTCCAGGAGCTATAGTCTCTGATGCAACGACCATTCCAGGTGCAGTCACGAGGCTTGCCCTGAACATGGGTCGCCAGCTCAACCAGGTGAGCTAAAGCGGCGGCCCGGTTGTCCATTTCTCTGTGCCAGTTCTTGTGATACACCTTTTACCCAACGTCAGCTGGGATAGGCTCCAGAACCCCTATAGCTCCCTCGACTTTATAAAGCAGGTACAGCTAATACATGGATGGATGCATAAATTGATGTTTCCACAGACTGGGAAGCTTGCGCTCTTAATATTGATGCTAATTTCTATTTTCCGTCACCTATGAATGCCAGTAAACGTAGCATCACTTCTAAGTCAACATCTAAAAAGTTGCATGAAAGCCCATCGGCCTATTCGTTGCACCTTTTGCAAAATCCACACAATAATTTCCATCAAGGATGTTCAGGTGTCGCATGCTGTGAAAACAAAAACCGACAGATCACGGTCATGTCTTCTTGGCAAACGTACTTGCTTGTTTTGACCTGAGATGCTGCTGCTTGCTCCTCAAAGCTACACCCAGTGGTTCTGAATATCATGTATGTCGATGTCAGTGGTTACACAAACCAACCGCGGTCGCAAGGAACCGGACGAGCATAAACAAAACCACAAAT